CGTCAGTCCGTCAGTCCGTCCGTCCGTCCGTCCGTCCGTCCGTCCGTCCGTCCGTCCGTCCGTCTGCCCGCCCGTCATTCCTTCCTTCCTTCCTTCCTTCCTTTCTTTCTTTGTTCCTCTCTTCCTTCCCTCCGACCGTCTGTACGTTCGTACGTTCTTCCTTTCTCCCGTTCGTCTGTCCATCAGACACCGTCAGCTGCCTTGTCCGACCGCTTGTTGATTCATCGTTCCGCTGGACCGACCGTGTCACACAATTTGTTCGTGCATTAGTTGATCCATTCACACATTCCCATTGCTATTTCAGTTTCCTTCGTTCATCCATGTTCTTTATTCATCCACCGACTATGAATCTCTCGCCACCCTTGTGCTCCTGATACACATCGCGCGCCCCGCGCAGGAGGTCCGCTCCCCGTCCCACTTCCGAACGTACCTTCCTCCACCGTCCAAACCGCCCCCGTCGCCACCCTGCCTGCGCGGCCCTCCACCCGCTCCTACCTCCTGGCACCGCCAACTGCAGCCACCGCGGGGCGCTGCGTTCGGCACAGCGCGCTCGAGATGCAGCAGTAACAGCGATACATCGATCGCGGCCCGCTCTCGATTCGCAGGCCCTGCCCGCCCGCCCTCTCGCCCGTCGACCGGAGGCTCGGGCATTCAAGAAGCCGGGAATCGGCGGCAGGGTGACAGTCGCCGCCCTCTGCCAGCGCGCTCCGGTCAGGTGGCGACGCGGAGCCCACGCGACCCGAGGGCCAGCGCGTCTGCCCGGCGACCCGACGGGCCCAGCTTCTGGCTCCCGGCGAAGCACCTGTGGACCTCGGCGGTGGATGTTTATCGTCGATTGCTATTGCGCAGCTCTCTTCGCGACTTATTAACATTTTACGGTAAGACGATTTTCTCACTGAGTTGTTTCCATTTTTTCTTATTATATTCTGGGTTACTGCAATCGTTCTCTGCTTTGGTTTGAAGTGTGTGCTATTGTTTGTAAAAGTCTTAAAATTATGCTTGACGCTGTTAGTGAATTACAAATCGCGTGTTAATTTTTCGAAACCCAAAATAAATTACACTAATGCTGATATTTTCATATTCAGTCTTTAAATTTTAATAAAGTGCGTGTCAATTATTTCTTGTCGAAACACCCTAGTTTAATGAGGCATAACTCTGTCGCATGAACATTTCAACAACGCATTATTTTTCAGCACTAATCGGTCATGCCCGTTTTGTCAATGCAAATACCCCGCGCAAATCTAATACACATTGCAGTACAAGCAACATAACGATATAAACGAGATCCCTCACGAAGTAGGCGAGTAAAAGTTTTTTATAGTTTCTTCTGCTAATAATCTTTCAATTTTGTATATATCTCGTGTACTAGTTAAAAGAAGGTTCACTAGTAAACATACGCTTTTGACAAAAATATTATGTTACCTGATAACAAAAGTGTTCTTTTTTTAAACCTCCGTATGCCTGAACAGCGCTAGTGCATGTAGAGTATACACGATTTACCCTAAAATGGATATTGATGGATTGACGTGGGCGAACATTTCCTGCGAAACCATGTTTTTAATTTTTGGAGATACTATATGAATTTTTCCAAATTTACTTAAAAGTTTTTCAAATTACTTTCTTTATATTTTTTGCTCAAATAGGAGAATGTTACCTTATAATTATGGTACTGGTTCCACTTTTATTAATACCTCTGAAATAAAAGCCAATGCAAATTCGACTTCTATCGAACTGGACCTACACCTTCAATTTATCTACAGATTTCTTTCAAAGCACAAGCTTTTCACAGCAAAATACAGTGGCATAAGTGCAATATTCTTTCCAGCTTTCCAATTTTTCTGAATTAGAGGTTTATTTTCAATTTGGAATCTCGCACACTTTGTTCGGTGAAGGTTTCCAAGCGTTGACGGAAGTATTCGTAGAATAAAATAGGAATATTATAATATTACGTAACCGTTACCAATAATACGACGAAGTATGTGTTGATGTGGTACCACTTGGTCTAATCGGCATTGGTGTTAAAGAGTCAGTACTTGTTTACAGTTGTTCAATTTGCAAACTATATTCAGAGTGCTTCGTAAAAAATTGCCGCTGCTTGTTGGCTTTTAGTTTTGAGAATTTAAGTTGTTAACTATCTTTGATTTGACAAAATATATTTGATTGATGAATCCGATCAATAAATCAACCTTAGGTTTTGTGGAATGTTTTTCTTTAACGTTTGGCATCACGCTTCTTGTGTTATTACGCTACTTCTCACTATGCAAAGAGATCAGATTTTCCGGACATGCGACAAATTCCCGAAAATCTCGGATCTCTTTTTCAAACTAAAAACGTAGTTACGACGCATTACAATGCGCAAGTTGTCAAATCGAAATAAAATTTAAATCATGAACGGAAAATAATGGAGTTCGAAGCGCTGACTAGAGTAAAAGATATGTAGTATCACATAAGAAACCCAGAGCCAAGTCGTTTAGATCTAGGGCAATGTAGACGAAAAGTACAGAAACATATATTTGAGATGCCCCGGATCAAGTGATACATGCTACTCTAAAGAGGAAGAGGAAAATATGGAAATACTGGCCTTGTATACAGGCCTACATAAAATCAAATTCAAATGCCATTCATTTTTTAAAATACTGACTTAGTTTGGATAATTATCTAGTTATATGATAAAATTATTTCGATCGCAAATATCGAAATGATGTAATTATTCTATTGGAATACTAATGTGCCAGCTGGAATAGAACGTACTGATTCATGTAATATTAGACCAGCATTGGTTCGAAAAGGTAATTACAGTATTTTAACTTAAAATGATTCTAAACATACATTGGTTTCGCAAGCGTTGTACAAAACAAAACTAGGAGGCACGAAATGCAGTGAGAACGCATTCGCTGTACGAATTCATAGCTGCGTATCGAATATAAATGGCTGCTCTGCAATTTTCGGTGATGTAAAAATAAAAAGAATCGTGGGGAGGCTAGAATTAACATGATGCCAGGACATCAAATTGTCGATTGTCGCCAGTCTCGTGTTGCTAGAAGATGGCATTCCAATATAAGTCCATAGCAAATATTTAAACTATTGGACATGATTTGTTATTTCGTTATTTCGTAGACCACCGTAATCTTAATCTTTTTCGGAAAATAAAACTCTGAATTTTATTCAGTATTCAATCTGATTTAAATCCTTAATACTGTTGAAGTATCTGAACACAAAAGCAATTGGATATTAGAGTAAATCTCAAGTGGCATTGGGGTGTCCAATCTTTAAGGTTAATAGTTCTAAAATTATTAACTTCTTTGTAAGAGAAAATTGTCGCCCAGATAGAAAAACAGATATGCCATATTCATCGGGTCACATGCGTTTTACATAGCTTTTCAGTTAAAAAAAAAACATGTGAAAATCATGAAAGTCCTGAAAGACATTCTCCCATTAATTAGGATAACGAACCACCCTGCACTTACGAAATAAACACATTTTTTCACTTTTCGTCACCACGTGACCTAAATTTAAAACAGCTACTGTTTTCACACCCTCCCCTATGTGCTTCAGTCAATTTCTGTCTATAGTTCCCGACAAAGGTACGGGGAGGGTAGTTGCGTCGGGTAAGGGGGGCAGTATCGGATATGGGAGGGGGAGCTGCAGGGGGTAGAAAGGCTGAGGGGTCTAGTGTGGGGGTGGCTGCTGCTGCGGCGGGATGCGCGAGGCGCCGAAGAGGTCACGTCCGCGTGAGGTCTGGCGGCGTCGGTAGCATCGCGGCGGGGCGTGGGCGGGGGGGGCGTGGGGCGGGTAGAAGAGGGTGCGGGGTGGTGTGGTGCCGGAGCTGGGCGGGGGTGGCTAGCAGAGGGGGGGGCGCAGAGCAGAACGGGAGGAGGGCCAGCCCCGCGGGGTCGGTAGGGGCGCGGTGGCGGCCTTCGGCGGCCCGGAAGGGGGCGCCCTAATGGCCCCTTGACAACGTCGCGCGGAGGTCGTAACGCGCGGGGTGTCAGAGGGCGCACGGCGAGGCTGAGGCGAGGCGTCGGCGGCGGCGCGGGCGCGCTCACTTGAAAGCTGACGTGGCGACCGGGGGAGGGGGAGGCGGCGGAGGCGGCGGGCAGTGGGCGGAGGGTGCAAGGGGACGCTGGAAACCCGGCGTCTTGGCGGAGGTCGGCTAGCGGCGGGCGCTCCAGCTACACCTTGTGCTTCAGAGATCGGGCTGAGTGTGGGGGGTGGTAGTTGTTCGAGGGGAGGGGTTAAATTCATGAAGAGGAGGGCACTGGCTGTGGCGGTGGCAACTGTTACCTGAAGAATGGATTTTCACCACAAGGAAAAAATAGGAAAAAATTGGAGGAGTGAAGAAAGGAAGAGAAGAAGTAGGAACACATTTTTAAAAAATAATACAAAACAGCAAATGCATGGGAAGAGAAGGCAGAGGAATAGTATACTAGTATAATGTTGGTCGTAGAACTTGGCGATGGCAATGGCAATACTGATGATTGCGCATTAAATGGTAGTCTTTCTGTCACTTGTAGTACAGTAGAACCCCGGTAATCCAAACCCCGAAAATACGAAATTTCGGACAGCCCGAAGAAAATTCGGGATCGAGGAAAAATCAACAAAATAAATAAAATGCTTATTTGTGGAGTAAAGAATGGATTTTATAATGGCTGTAGAACAGATCTAACTATTGAAACAAGTTGTTAAAATTAAACATTTATTGCACTGATAATTACGGTATATATCACATGTTTATGTAGCGGCAATTTTCGCTTAGACGAATTTACAAAATCTGTAATTATTGCCGTAAAGAACTGAATCTGCTTCATGATGCGATCGCTTTGTTTCGTTGTCATTTTCTCACATCGCACGCTACGTTGTATTATGTCTGGTAATGCTATAGATGTATTTGTATAATGTACGGAACATGTTTTCGGAAAATCGGAACATTTCCGAACCCGAACATACCACACCCCCAATTAGTTCGGAATACCGCTGTTCTACTGCAGCCTCTTATTTTTTGTTTGGATTTTATGAAGCAAGGAGCGTTAGTAACCCCCTTCCATTTCCCAAAACCTGCCGCAACTGCAGCGGTGGATGCGGCGTCTATGAGGTATTCGGACCTCCTCGGCCACCCCTCGCAAACACTCGCTGTGACGGCGACGGCGGCGACGGCGGCGGCGGCGGCGGCGGTGGATGCGAATAAGACGCATCGGGCGGCGAAACCGACACCAGCCGTGAACATATTACTGGCGCCAGCGCCTGGGGTTACGGTTGGGATGGCGACATCTTCACCTGTCTGGCGTCGGCAGAGACGGGCTAACAAGACGGATGAAGGAGACGGCGGCGGCGGCGGCGGCGGCGACGGCGACGGCGGGGCGCCGAGAGCAGGTGTCACCGGCAAACAGGGCTCGCCCCCATACGGACGGTAGCCGCGGCCAATATAATGGGGTGGAGGGTGAGGGAGAAGCAGGCACGCAGCCAGCTTTCTTTCTTTCTTTCTTTCCTTCCTTCGGAGGAGGAGCTACTACTTCTATGCACATTACAGGGTTCTTTCAAAAATGGTGATTAATGACAGGTTATTATCGAACAAACTGCATGGATGGTTAAGAATCGAACCAACTTGGAAGTCCAGTTCAAATCCTGCTTTGGCTGCGCTGGTGAATAATCGATCAACCTGTGTTATTCCCACTTCTCAGCAAGAAATGGTCCAATACCTTTAATGAAACGTGTTTGAAAAGGGATCCTTTTTCTTTTCTTGACCAGATGCATAAATCTGCAATTGCTGGGCTATTAGTATTGTGATTTATTTCAAAAGGACTTCAAAAATAAATAGTGGACCCTCATTCACGATTAGTTTCAGGCTGCCTCGCCGCGAGTTGAGGTAAAGAAGCCAGTA